GTATGTTGTTGTTTTTTGAGTGATGGTGGTGGGTCCCCCCCCAAAAAATATTTTTTTCAACTTCTGCAACCTTGGGGCTCCCCCAAACCTCTTCTTTGCAGGGGATGCCATTTTGGCTAGATAAAAATTGCCACTGGAGAATCTGATTAGTGTGTAGGACTGAGTCTTCTCAGCTTGTTGAGTCGAATCATTACAATTAATTTTAATTACCATTCATACAGAGCTAGCTACATATAAGGTGCTTTATGAATAATGAGAAGCTGTGAACTGTGGCTATAAAGGGATGTCCAATGAAGCTGAATATTGGAAGAGTCAGGGCAGACAGAAAGAAGTCCTTTGTGCAGTGCAGAGTTAAACTGTGGAACTCCCTGCCACAGGAGGCAGCGATGGCCACCAAGTTGGGTGGCTTCAAAAGAGGATTGGACAAATTCATGAAGGAGAAGGTTGTGCAAGGAGTTCTAGCCACAATGGCTCTGCTCCTCCTCCACAGCCAGAGGCAGCAATGCCAGTCTGAATGCCAGTCACTGGGGACTGCAGGTGGACAGAGCGCCCTGCTTCAGAACTTCCCACAGAGGCATCCGGTTGGCCACCATGCCGACGTTCTGCCTTCACTGCCAGAGGAAGTATCCTTCTAAATACCTGGGAATCACCGGTGCGGGTGGTTGGGTGGGTGCTGTTGCACCCAGGGCCAGATTGCAGGCTTCCCAGAGAAAGCTGGTTGACCCTATTCCACCAGGCTTTCTCCCTATGTTTTTAACTCTTGACATTTACCTTCTAACGTCTGATTGTTTCATTCTGCTACTGACTCAATTTTAGCTCAGACTTAAAATGCAATTTGGTTTAGAACTCTTGCTTGAAACAGGATTGCTTTTCTCTTTTTATAAAAATTTTGTGCTGCAACTTTATAGATTTTGTTGTAAGCCGCTTTGAATACTGGTGTGCAAGATCTAAATTATGCCATTATATTATAATTCATCCTGACTAATTAATATAATTAAGTATGTATCATGGCTTCCCATTTTCTTCCTTTTTGTTCATTGCAGAGAGCTGTGGGGGTTTCATATGAGGGAGGAATGATGAAGAAATCTGATTCAATTCCCATTTAAAGTCAAACCTACCTAATTCACACCTTTGTAGACAACGCAAGGACCAAACCACAGCTGCCCTTCAAATTTCACACTTCTGCAAAGGAAGGCACTACTGTCCCGGCAAGACCAGTGGTGGAGGGAGGGTCTTGCGTGGCGGCACGTCGTCTGTGGGGCCATGGAACGTCGCCCATGCGAGCGTCGTCCCAAGGGGGTGGCGTGCACAAGCCCATCTCAAGGGGGCGGCCGAGTGTGGGGGCGGAGGGATTACACGGGCCCCACTGTCCCTAAGCTCCCGTCCGTCCCTCCTCTGCTTAGCATTCGCTTCATAAGACGCACAGACATATCCCCTTACTTTTTAGGAGGAAAAAAGTGCATCTTGTGGAGTGAAAAATACAAGCGTCTTATGGAGCAAAAACTACGATATTTGAACTGTTCTCAAAACACCTCTGTCTTCTCTTGTCTGGGCTAAACCCAGCTTCTTCAACCATTCTTCATAAGGCTCAGTTTCCAGACCCTGGATAATCTTGGTCGCCCTCCTCTGCACCCTTTCCAGCTTGTCAACATCCTTCTTAAATTGTGCTGCCCAGAAGTGGACACAGTATCCCAAGTGTGGTCTGACCAAGGCAGAAGAGAGCAGGACTATTACTTCCCTTGACCTGGACACTATATTTCTGTTGATGCAGCCTAGAATACCATTAACTTTTTTTCTGCTGTATCACACTGTTGACTTCGGTGAAGCTTGTGGTCTACTAACACCCTTAGATTCTTTCCACATGTACTGCTGGTAGAAATACATACATACATACCTACATACATACATACCCAGCCCAGCTGGCTGGGTTTTCCAAGCCCACTCTGGGTGGCTTGCAACAGAATATTAAAAACACGATAAATCATCAAACATTAAAAACTTCCCTAAGCCAGGTGTCCCTCATCCTACATTTTTGCATCTATTTTATTGTTCTTGCCTAAGTGTAGAACCTGACATTTGTCCCTATTGAAATTCATTTAGTTTGTTTGGGCCTAGTTCTCCAATTTGTTAATCCCAATTCCATCTTCTGTGGCATTAGCTACACCTCCCAGTTCGGTGTCATCTGCAGATTGGATGAGCATCCCCTCAATTCCTTCATCCAAGTCATTTATAAAGATGTTGAACAACAATGGGCCGAGGACAGAACCCTCCGACACCCCACTTGTCACTTTTTTCCAGAAAGATGAGGAATGAGTCCTCTCTGGGTTCGGTCTGCCAACCAGCTACAAATCCACCTAACAGTTGCCTCATTCCACCCACATTTTACCAGCTTCTCTGCAAGTATATCATGGGGGACTTTTGTCAGAAGCCTTGCTGCTATTTAATCCATTCTTTAAACAAGTTCCAAATATACTGCATATGCTTTCTACATGTTTGTTCTGTGCTGTCAACATATCAACCAAAGATTGGCCATGGACCCTCAATGATGGGGAGTGGGTCGGTGGGCAAATCCACAATCTCCATTCAGACAGAGTCTCTCCTTGCATTTCCAGTTGGCAGGAATGAGCGGGTTTTCCTGCAAGTTTCCTGCAAGAAGTTTGAAGGTTCCCTTCTGAAGCCACATGCCAAGTTCTGGAGGAACCAGCCAGGCTGGAATGACAGGCGGTAAAAAGGCTCAGCCTTTCCCAGCTGTGTTTCAGCTGCACAGCACGCCTTCCTCAGTATCCCCTTTTTTACACAAATGCTTAAGGCAGTGAGGAAGAATACTACATCCCTGACCAAATCGCAAAGGGCCTGGTAGCAAGAGCAACTAAAACAGCCTTTGCCAAACTCGGGCCCTCCAACTGCAGCTCCCATCTGCCCCAGCCAACAGAGGGTAAAACTAGGGAATGCTGCAGTGTGGTCTAAGTGGTCAGAGTGCTGGACTAGGGCTCAATTCTACTTGGCCATGAAGTTAAACAGGGTGATCTTGGGCCAGTCCCTGCCTCTCAGCCTAATATGCCTCACAGGGTTGTGGTGACAATTAAACAAGGAGGGGAAGGCCATGTCGGAAGCCACCCTGGAGAAATGGTGGGAAGCAAATACAATAAATAAGTAAATGAAATCTAGAATCAGAAAACTGAAGCTTCTTTCAGTTTTCTGATTCTAGATTTCATTTAGAAATCTTCTTTCTTTTCAAAAGGAAAGAAGGTTCTAATCTGCACCAGAGTGATGAATTTCCTGATGGTGAAGGGCCCAGAGCTCACACCTGCTTGGCATGCAGAAGGCCCCAGGGACCATCTCCAACGGCCTCTCCAGGGAATGCTGAGAATGTCCAACACCTGAAACACTGGACAGCTGGTGCCAGTCAGTGCAGACACTCTTATTGAGATGGGCCAGTGTTTTTACACAGGAAAACTTCCTATGTTCCTAGTACAGTGGTACCTCGGGTTAAGAACTTAATTTGTTCCGGAGGTCCATTCTTAACCTGAAGCACCACTTTAGCTAATGGGGCCTCCCGCTGCTCCTGTGCTGCCGCCGCACAATTTCTGTTCTCATCCTGAAGCAAAGTTCTTAACCGGAGGTACTACTTCCAGGTTAGCAGAGTCTGTAACCTGAAGCGTCTGTAACCTGAGGTACCACTGTACCAGTAAAATGGAACTGAAGCAACTGTGGGGTGAGAAGCGAGACCCACAGCTCTGGGGGAGGGTGCCTGCTCTGCATGCATGAGGCCCCAGGGTCCCTCCCCAAGGGCCTCTCCAGTCAAAGATGGTGTGCAGAAACCCTTTTCTGCCTGAGCTCTGGAGAGATGCTGCCATCACAGCAGACAGTGCTGAGTTAGCAGAACTAATTGTCCAGTTTCATAGCTGCTTGGAGACCCATGCGAAAAAGAGAGGCATTAATAATAATACTAAAACACTATTCAGTTAAAGCTCAGTGATATCACTTTAAAGAATCATGGCTTCCCCCAAAGAATTCTGGGAGTTGTAGTTTGTTAAGGGTGCTAAAAGTTGTTCGGGAACCCTCATGGCACTCTGAGAGGTACCATTTCCAGAGTGGTCCAGCAGTCAATCCCTCTCCCTAGGGAACTCTGGGATCTGTGGCTTTGTGAAGGGAATGGGGCTTCCTAACAACTCTCAGCACCTACAACAAACTACAGCTCCCAGGATTCTTTGGGGGGGGGAGTCATGACTGTTTAAAGTGGTGTCATAATACTTTAAATGTATGTAGCTTTGGAGAGTTTGCCTTGTGCCCCAGACCAGGGACTCGGTCATAAACTTCTGACCCCAGCTGGCCCAGACTGGAAGCTGGAGTAAACGGTTGCCCCCAGAGGCCTGCAGCAACAAATAAAGCTAGGGGCCATGAAGTTTGGGGGGCGGGGGCGGTAGCAACGAGGGAAAAAATCTGAACATCGTGTCCTCAGCAGGTTCCCCTTCTACATACAAGCCCACCTCCTTGTTGGTGTTGCTACTCACTTGCCTCTCCTACTGGACTCAATCCTCAGCCCAGAGAGGAGGATAAGACTTGGTGAGGCCTCCTATTTCCTCTCCCCTCACTGCTTTCAGGCATGTTCTCCCTGACATTTTGGTTAGCAAAATGGTTAAATATCAGCTAGCACTGCATATATTGTTGGACTTCAGCTCCCAGCAGTCCCAGTCGCCAGCATGGTGAATGGTCAGGGACAACAGGTGGTACAAACCAGCAACCTCTGCAGGGCACCTCTATTGACAGGGAGTCCCAAAGTCTGGGACCTTTCCGCAACAGAGAAGCCCCTTCTTTAATGTACCCACTTCACCTAGCATAGAACGTGGACCTAGTGAGATAAACGAGGCAGATAAGTGGAGCCATCTTTCTGCAAGCTGAGCATCTCTAGAAGAGCGTATCAGTGGGTGGTTCTGCATACTTCCCAGATTCATGGAATCACTGAGTTGGAATCATCTAGTCCAACCCAAATATGCAGCTGTCCCTTATGGGGATTGAACCTGCAACCCTGGCGTTCTCAAAACCACGCTCTAGCCAACTGAACTATCAAGGCCGAGATGTCCTTCTGCTAGCACTACATCACTTTAAACATGGCATCCCACAAAGAGCCCCAGGAAGTGTCGTTTGCTGGGGCTGTTAGGAGACCAGCTTATTCCCCTTCACAGAGCTACATTTCCAGAGTGACTTAACAATCAATCTCTCTTCCCAGGAAACTCTGGGAATTGCAGCTCTGTGAGGGCTCCTAACAGCTTTCAGATCCTTTGGAAGAAGCCATGGCTGCTTAAAGTGGCAAGATAAAGGAAATAGTGTAGATGAGACCTCTCTGTCAGGATAACTTTATGAGAGGACTCTATCTGCCAGTCAGGTCCCTTGCTTTGCACAAGTTGAAGTGTTTCCATCAATGCAAAGCCTCCACTGGATGCAAGGGGGGGAATGGAATTCAGTTTGCCTAATTCACACTTTATGAAACAAGGCACAAACCAAAATGCAAGCCATCCTTCAACATTCACATTTTTCTAAATTTTGCAATGTAACAAAAATCCACGTACCAGCAAAAAGTGTGCGTAAAAATGCATATTGTTAATGACATACAAAGATGCATTATATTTGAGAAAATATAATTGCCTCATCCATTTTCCTGAGAACCTTTTCTTTTTTATTTGTTAAAATTGTAAACTGATACGGCAATGTGGAGAACTGATCTTAAAATCGGAAAAATGAGAAACTGGGAGGTTCACTCACCCAGAGATACAACCCATAATAATTCATTTTCTGGCACTTCTGATGCCTTGGCAGGACTCAGATTTGTTTGTTTGTTTTGAGTCGCCAGGCCAACACAAAGCACCACTAAGGATGTCCGACAATTAAAACCTAAGCGTGCAATATCCTTCAGACTATACCATTCTACCATTCTATGAATATATATCTAAAAAAAATACAGCATAATGAAAAGAGGGTCAGTGCAGATGAGAAACAAAAGCAACAGAAGCAACTGTATATATCCGTGTTTTTAAGAACACATTCGCTCCTGCTGCCTCCTAAAATGCAAGTGGGTTATTCGAACACAGCAAGTTTTTTAACACCGTCGCCTTCCCACAGTATTTGGGTGGAAAGAGAAAACTCTCCGTTCAGAAAGGCGGGTGGCAGGCGCGGAAATACGGTCACGTGACCTGCTCTTCCATTGTTTGATTTCGTACGAGGAGGCCACAGCCCAGGAAGCCCAGAAGCAAACGGCACGTGTTGCCAAATCTAATTCGTCTGTCATCCTCCTTTCCCATCGCCACCGTTGCTATAGTATGTTTCTCAGGCAACAGCCTTGGATTGTTTTTTTTCCTAGAATGTGTATCTGGGTGGAAGCAAGATACTGAGGAGTACCCACTTCTCAACAAAACTAGGTTTGGGGGCTGGTGAAATGCAGTTCAGGGGCTGAAGCTGAACTGCAGGCCAGAGAGTCCCCAGTCTGAAACTCAACCCTGCCGCGAATAGAAGTCACAATCCCTCTCAGCCTCAGTCCCTCCCGTCCCTAAGGATGTACAGTGGTGCCTCGGCCTATGAACAGCCCTGTTAATGAACTGTTCGGTGAACCAACTCCGCAAAACCAGAAGTAGGTGTTCCAGTTAGCGAACTGCCACGGAAGCCGAACGGTGGCAGGGAACTGGCGGTGGGAGGCCTCAGTAGAGAAAGCACACATTGGTTTAAGAATGCTTTGGTTTAAGAACAGACTCCCGGAACAGATTAAGTTCATAAATGGAGGTACCACTGTACATCAGTAATGATGTTCCTTCCTTCCAGCATTGTTGTAAATATTTGCAAAGCTGCCTACATAGAATCCTAGAACGTAGAGTTGGAAGGGACCCTAGGGGTCATCCAGTCCAACCCCCTGCAATGCAGAGTTTTGGGCACACATTGCTTCCCTATGTACGAACCTACTATGCTGACTTTGGCCTGTTGGAGCACCTACCCTCAGAGCTCTCTACTTGTGACTGGCAGTAGTGCTCCAAGGCATCAGATAGAGGAGCATGGAGCATTATGTGGAGGCAGACCATCTAGTGCAGCACTGTTTGAGAACCAGTGGTTCTCAAAACCTTTTCCTCTGGCCCCACTTTCAGAATGAAACATTTGTTCATGAATTTTTTAGTGATAAGAAATACAGTGGTACCTCGGGTTACATACACTTCAAGTTACAGACTCTTCTAACCCAGAAATAGTACCTCAGGTTAAGAACTTTGCTTTAGGATGAGAACAGAAATTACTTAACCCGAGGTACCAGTACCTCAGGTTAAGTACTTAATTCGTTCCAGAGGTCTGTTCTTAGCCTGAAACTGTTCTTAACCTGAAGCACCACTTTAGCTAATGGGGCCTCCTGCTTCTGCCGCGCCGCCGGAGCACGATTTCTGTTCTCAACCTGAAGCAAAGTTCTTAACCTGAAGCACTTTTCCTGGGTTAGCGGAGTTTGTAACCTGAAGCGTCTGTAACCCGAGGTACCACTGTAAATTGGAAAACAAAAACAAACAACTCCTAGCAGTGCTTGATTTTTAACCTAGAACACAACTACTTTATGATACAATCATGGGAAAGTATAAAACAATGCTAGTACATAAGAACATGAATCACACCCCAAATATGAAACTGACTGCCCTTGACTCTTCCTGCTGCACTTGCCACCCCCTCCTGCCTTGCCCTTCGAGAACTCTGCTCTACCTGGACTGGAAGCAATGGCTCTTTAGAGTTTCTGGCAGGGGTCTCTCTCAGTCCCGGCTGAAGATCCTGGGGATGAAACCTGGGACCTTCTGAATGAAAAGCATGTGCTCCACCGCTGAGCTGGATGCCTTTCCCGATTCTGCCGCCCAGCTCCCCGAAGGGATTGTGGGAGGGAAATGTTCACCAGTGAACCATCTCTCACGTCTGCTATTCCAACCAATGGCTGGCCAAGGGTGCACCAAAACAGCAAGACCTAGCAAGAGAGGCATTACTGGAGCTCCTTACCTTTAGGGAGTCAAAGCAGGCGATAACTCGTCCATTTTCCACATGGCAACTCCTTGAAGGGTGGGCAAACTTGCACTCTGTGTCAGAGCGAGAACAAGTACCTCTCTGAAATTCTCGACATACTTCTAACGTCAGCCATTTTGTATCACGAACCAAAGAAACGTTCACAGCCATTTTAAAAAAAATAAAAGAAACCACCCCCCAAAAAAGGAAGGGGGGAGAGAGAAAAAGGAAAACACAAGGAACCACACCCCTCCTTCAGGAGAAATAGTACTGCTGATCTTTCAAAGAAGAAAAGGGGGGGGGGGGATAAAAAAGGGAATTCAAGTTTAAAAAAAGTGAAGAAATAACTAACTTGTTGCTTTGGTAAACTTTTCTATTTGTCAGCACTTAGGTTTCCATTGAACTCAAATTGTGTTTGTTGAAAAGAAGGATTAAACATAAAGCCAATCATAAAATAGAAATCTCATCAGAATTAACTGAAAAGTCAAATTAGAGGCCAGCTCCTAAAAGTGCAATTCTTGAAGTCAAAATAGAAATGTTATATATATATATATATATATATTATATATATATACCTATATATAGATATATATAATTCTTTTTTTGTGCCACTGCCAAAATTATTCTTTCAAAATAACTGGCAGACTTTTTATTTCCCCCTCCAAAGGATTATTCTGTGCTCTCCAGTTACTGGTTTCAATTATTCTCACGCTGAAAAAAGGAAAAAGGAAAAGTCATTGCTGGCGATGCTGCAGGTGGAGCAGAGTTGGTTGGTTTCGTTTCTTGACAGGGGAAGAAGGGGAGCTGCAAGCAGGAACCAACAGAAGTTGGTTTTTTTAAAAAAAGGTTTCCATTTTTTCCTTTCGTTTGGAATATTTTAGTAAAGGGAGACCGTTAAATCTGCTACATAGTCAGGAGACAGAGGAATGGCAGAGCAAATCTGAGTTGTAAAATGGTTAGGAAGAATTTTTTTTTGGGGGGGGGGAATTATAAAGATGGATGAGTTGCTATCAGGATATGAACTGCAAGCAACGCCAAACTTTGGAGAAAGGAAAAGCAAAAATAAAAAAGAGGAGAGGGATATCTATATATATCAATAGATATATATATAGATCTATATACACACACGTATAGATATATGTATATATATATAATTTTTCCCCAAAAAGCGAGCGAGGCAAAGCCCTGGACGCAAATCCAAGCGGTGGCGGTGGCGGCGGCGGCGGCGGCACAGGATTCAAGGAAGGCACTTTTCAGCTACCTGTGAAAGAGAAGAGAAAAGTGTCAGCTGCAGCCCAAGGCAGCTCCCCACCCTAAAGATTCCAGCCCTCTCTCCGGAAAGCAAGTGGAAACTCATTTTCAACAGGAAAAACCTCTAGGTACTGACAGTGTGGCATTTTGAAGGCAGCCGCGGTAGGTGTTTGTATTAAAAAAATAAAAATAAAAATAAGAGAAGAGAGAGTCAGAAAGGAAAGAAGGACATTTCTCCACACGGAACTGCGCATGGCACAGAGGAAGCAGCCAATTACATTTACCGTTGCAGCAGAAAGCCTGGGCAGGCATCCAGTAAAAAAGGTTGTTTTATATTGATTTAATTCTGGCAGACATTCTCCCTCGTTTTCTGCCTCTTGCACAGTCTCTCTCCCCCCACCCCCGTGCCCGCTGCACGGGAAAAATGCCTCCACCTGGCGTTGCGGCAGACGGCCCTCTGGTGCGTCTGTGATGTGCCTCCGGGTTCCCAGCAAGAGCCAGCTGCTGAGTGGGCAGGCTCTGCTTCTGCACAGGCCACTCAGACCGAGAGATGTGACGAGGCGTCGCTGTCGTGTGCAGCAATCCACCCCTGGCACAGCTGGAAGCTCTCAGTGGCAGAGCGAGCATTCTGGAAAGAGCCCTTGCCCCCTTGCCACCCCCTCCACCAATTCCTCGCTGCTACCGCTGCCCCTTTCTCCAACCCAGAGTGGCTGGTCGTGGCAGGATGCCACTCTCAGAACACAGTTGGGCAGAAAACTGGGTGGGGAAACCTTGACTCTGAGGGCGTCCACAGACAAAGGAAAAACAAACTACCCTTCTGCTCTTTTTGCGGCACCATAAATCATTATGGAAGGAACTGTGCTTTGCACACACGCATCTGGTGGGTGGAAAATTTCATACACCCCCCCCAACTCCTCATAGCAAACATTTGCCTCTGGGAGGCGAGATAGCCGGGTGCAAAGAACTGTCTGCCGACAGAGGCTCAATGCTCTGTCTCACCCCATTAACTGCTACAGGTCCGTCATGGATTAGGGTTAACCCTCTGCATGCTAGCTGAAGATTCAGTGACTGAGGTTTCGTTCAGAAGGAAGAAGCTCATTCGTTCGCCAGGCGGTTTTTCTTTTCTCCCCTCCCGCCAAAACGAGAAGTAAAGCCCAGAGTGAAACTTAAGACTTCCATTGAAACACAGGAGGATTTACTATTTAGAGTATTAACTCCATGTCTGCACAAAAAGTCTGTGCGTGTTCAAGTTCCAACATTATTACAGTGGTACCTTGGGTTACAAATGCTTCGGGTTACAAACTCTGCTAATCCGGAAGCGGTACCTTGGGTTGAGAACTTTGCCCCAGGATGAGAACGGAAATTGTGCGGTGGCGGCACGGCAGCAGCGGGAGGCCCCATTAGCGAAAGCGTGCCTCAGGTTAAGAACGATTTCAGGTTAAGAACGGACCTCCAGAACGAACTAAGTTCTTAACCCGAGGTACCACTGTATTACAGTCAAACCTTGCTTCCCGAACGCCTCCATTTTGGAACGTTTTGGCTCCCAAACGCTGAAAGTCCAGTTTTTGAACATTTTTCGGAAGCCGAACATCCGACATGGCTTCCACTTGAGTGCAGGAAGCTCCTGCAGCCAATTGGAAGCTGCGTCTCCGTTGTTGAACATTTCAAAAGCTGAGCAGGCTTCCAGAATAGATTACATTCAACAACCAAGGTTTGACTGTTTTTGATGCAACAGTGCCATATTTCAACAAATGCTTGCTGGATGTTAGGAGTGCAAAAAGAACACAGAATCGCCGAATGTTTGCAGGTAGGGAGGTATTACTGCCATCAACAGCTGATGAACTAAGATAATCAGAAGCAGTTGGCTTGATCAGATCGAAAGGTCCAGCCACTGCAAAACCTTGCCCATCAGGGGCCTTCTGTAGAGGCACAATGGCAAATGCTCTCTCCACTGTTGCTCCCCAGGAACAATTGCGTATCAGTTTGCAATCTTTGGATTTATTTCAGTACACTTCTATAACAATTGGTACACTTTTTAAAAATAAAAATAGCTCATTTACAAAAGTTAAGCACCCACCAAAATATAAAAGCAAACGTGCAAACCTCAAAAGCACAAAAGTGGCAGATTAATGCACAAGATAACCAAAATGTTAAAAAATGCCATGCACATATGGAGGGGGTTATGTGCCCAAGAAAAGAAGGAGGTTGCCGCCTGGCATAAGAGGTAGCAAAGTTGGTGCCCGTCAAACACACAGGGAAGACATGTCACAATTGGGGTGCCACTGCCGAAAAAGCAGCCAGGAACGCAGCTGCCACTACTATGCCAAGAGTCCTGCTTGGAATGTTTCTGGTTTTTTGTTTTTAACTTCATCTGAAACTACATGAGCCTCCCAGCCCAGCCTGGGTGGTGGAAGCAAAGACCAGGATAAAGGAAGTTACTAGCTAGGCAAGGAACTGAACAAAAAGAGAAGCTGAAGAGCATTCAGGTGACATTGTGTGTTAGTATGCTCCAGGTTTGGAAAGCTGGGAGATCTGGGTTCAAGTTATACCACAGACCCATTCGAGGCTTATTTCTCTCAGAGAAGGTCTGCATCTACCAAGGAATGCCTTACACTTCCCATTTCCTCTTGTGCATCACCTTCCTTGCACAATTATTATTATTAATTGACTGAGCTATTTATATCCTACCTTTATGAACTTACAAACAAAATACAAAATATGGTAATCTGGTAATAAACTAAAGAGCGTACTTCAAAATCAATCCCAAAAATGCCTTATTGGGGTGTGGGGTCTTCAGACCACACCTGTAAGCTGACTTAAAGGTGGCCTGGCATAGCTTCATGGGAAGCACATTGCACAATTTAGTGGAGCCACCACTGGAAAGACCCTGCACTTAGTGTTCACTGTTCTGCTCTCCCTTAGAGGGCAGGCTGAAGTGTCTGAAGTGAATATCTCAACACTTGGGGCAGGCTTACTTGATCTGAATAGCCTAGAAATGAGGCTGTTCAGTTTGGGATGCTTTACAAGAAATGTGAGGTGCAGGAAGTGCACAAACGCACTGTATTATCTGTGCATCCTACTGAACCTGAAGTCAGAGACTTTCAAATCAGGAAGAGAAGTGAACCAACACTTTTTGAAAGAGCAGGAAGCAACATTTTAAGATGTCAAATCATTTGATCCATCTACTGTGTACTGTCTGGCAAAAAACCGTTTTCTGTGGCTGCAAAAAAACCCCTTATGTCTTGTAGCAGGGGTCTCTCTGACTGGAAAGGCCGGGGAATCTGCCCCCACCCCACATTTTCTATAGGAAGATTTTTATTTGAAACAAACAAGACAAAACAAAACAGACTGCATGTTCAGAAATTATGCAAATTGCCACTGGGTAATAATCTAGCCTAGCCTTTGGTGCTCTCCAGCTGTTCTCCCATGAGCCTCAGCGAGCATGGCCAATGGTCAGGGGTGATGGGACCTGAAGTCCATAATATCTGGAGGGCCCCAGGTTGGGAGTCAGTTGATCTAATCCCTTTGAAAAATCCCATCCTTCCATTTGAAATCTCAACTTAGCCAGAGGGCCGCATCCCATTCTAGGCAGCATTCTGGGGCCACATGCCAGCAGTGTGTATACCCCAGATGTCAAGGAAATAAACAACTATCTGACTTTTAGAAGGCATCTGAAGGCAGCCCTCTTTAGGGAAGTTTTTAATTTTGATGTTTTATTGTATTTTAAATCATTTGTTGAGTGGCTGGGGAAACACAGCCAGATGGGAAGGGTATGTATGTATGTATGTATAAATAAATGATGATGGGCGGGGCCAGAAGCAAAAGTGGGAGGAGCAACGAAGGCAAATTTTACCTTTGTACACTAAGCTACATTCTACACACATTGTGCCCCTGGGACTAAGGTTCTCCAGTGGAAGAAGACTGGAAAAAGTTTAAAGACTATTTACAGAAATAATGTAAAATTAATGAATGTTAGAAAAATGTTGGAATGAAGATATTTGGCTTTAGTAGAAATGTTACAAGGAATTAAGTATAAATAGATTAATAGAGTATTAAAGGGAAAAATAAGGTTAGAATCTGTTAAGATAATTAAAAGATAGAAAGCAGAGGAAGAGGGAAAGGAATTGCTGAAACAATTAACAGAAGTGGAATACAAAAAGGGAAGTGTGAGGAGGTCATTGAAATAAGTGAATGAAAGATAAGATATTGAAATTGTTTGATGTGTTTTAAATTGTTTTTGTTTTGTTTTGTTAGTTTAATGTGTTTAATGTGTTAGTGTTATGTAGTGTTTTTGTATTGTATTGTATTGTCTTTGTAGTGTTTAAATTGTTGGAAAAGAAATAAATATTATTTTCCAAAAAAAAGAAAAAAGAAAAAAGGTTCTGTCAGGGATGGAACCTGGGACCTCCTACATGAAGAACACACACGCCACATGCCTGGGCTGTAGGCCTTCGCTAAAAATGGGACTTTTTAATAGGATCCAGCAGGGCTCTTCTGTTTTGTACACAGAATAAGCTAGCATCACCAAACCCATCCACACCCAACTGGCTCTGAATAAATTATACTATTATTATTATTATTATTATTAATTTATAGCCTGCATTTTTTCTGATAGGACCCAAGGCTAAACCAGCCCTAAACCACGAAAAACATAGAAGAAACTATCATTAAAAAACAATTAAACACAGATAGAATTAAAACTGTATGCACATATAAAATCTGTTTAAAGTGTACCAATAATTATAATAAAAACAGCACAGCACCAGGCCTTTCATTAGAAGCCATCAATTCCCAAAAGTCTGTTGGGAAAAGGTCTTCACCCGCCAGCAGAAGGATAACAAGGAGAGAGCTGCCTGGCTTCTCCAGGGAGAGTTTCAAAGTCTGGGAGCAGCCACTGAGAAGGCCCTCCCCTGAGTCCCCACTGATCTTGCCTACGAGGGTGGAGGGACCGAGAGAAGGGCCTCCCCCGAAGAAACCCGGGCAGGTTCCTGGGAGGGAATATGGTCTTCCAGACACAGCTTTGACCTAAGCTGTGTACAATGGCTTGGGCCCTTGTGCAGGGAAGATTGTATTTTCCAATACAAATTTTCCTGGATGCAATGATCCTTCTCTCAGTGCCATCAGCACCAGAAGCACAGCGGGTGGTGACACAAGAGAGGGCCATTTCTGTGGAATTCCTTCCCTGGAGAAGTTAGACCGAATCCTCCTTCCTTACCTTTCTTCCAGCAGACTCAGACCTTCCTCTTCAGGCAGGCCTTAAGGTGTAGACACTGGGCTGCTCTTGGGGCAAACTAAATTTTAATGCTGGTTTCAAATGTGTATTAGCGAATTTTAACTGCAGTTTGTTTTTCTTGATTTGCATTTTATAACGATGTTTTTTAAAAGCTGTGAGTTGCCCTGAATCCCAACTTGGGAGAAAGGAGCATGTGAAAGCAGGAAGATTGCACCTAATGCCTGTTTCACCTATGGCGTTCGCGCAGCTTTACACGGATAGCTGGAAATTTTTAAAAGTTAGTAAAAAAGGAGTGGGAGAGCAGGAAAATCTGCTTGAAAGGGCCATCCAAGACCTTGCAAGATCTCATGGGAGCTCTTGCAGAACCTTCCCAGAGCCTGGCAAGCAAGTCATGGGGCTTAGAATTGGAAAGGACCCCCCCCCCCAGTCATGGAGTCCAACCCACTGCAATGCGGGAATATTTTGCCCCATGTGGGGCTCGAACCCACAGCCCTGAGATTGAGTGTCTCTTGCTGCACCAACTGAGCTTCCCCAGCAGCGCTTCTATCTGTACATAAAATAACAGAAGCAACAACAACAAAACAACAACAATATACTTGAAGAGACAGGAAGGGAGGTATTTACCATTTTGACGGCTTGGTTTAAGGGATAACCTCTCTGCCCGCCAAGCCACACTGCACTATAAATCTGGCGAGTCTTTGGGAAATGTCCCTGTTTGAATTTGGAGCCCTAGGCCTGCTGTCCTACCAGGATTCAAGCAGGCGTGGAGGAGAGGCCTCATCCAGCAGCCGGCAACGCAGTGGGTGCAGCTTTGCCAACAAGCTGGCACAGGCTGAGGGATGGGTCGGAACAATGTGGAATTCTCTTAGGAATTAGGCCAACTGAAAGAAGAATGGGAGGCTTTTCTTGGAAGCAGCTTTTCCCCAAAATCTGGAAGCACAAATGAATATGCAAGATGCATCATAAACCTCCCCCCGCCTGTCAGTGCTTCCAGGGTCTCTTTTGGATTAACCCAAAGCTTTGGGCATGCTAAGCAAGTTCTCCTTCCCTTCAGCCCCCATTTTCATTTATTTCAGGGGCACAGCTTGCCCAACTCCTCGGTCGGAGTGGAAACACGGCCAGCAAGCCCAGGAGGGACACATTTTAAGCACAGTCACAGCTTCCCCCAAAGAATGCTGGGAGCTGTAGTTTTTTACGGGTGTGGAGTTGTTCCCCACCCAAAGCAGTTCAACAATCAATCCCACGTCCCAGGGAACTCTGGGAACTCTGGCTCTGTGGAAAGGGGAAAAGGGGGGTCTCCTAACAACTTTCAGCACCCGCAATGAACTACAGGTCGCAGCATTCTTTGGGGAAAGCCATGAATGTCTAAAGTGGCTGCCACAGCACTTCAAATGTATGGCATGAATATGGCTATATAATTCCCATTGGAACTGGAATTCCCACTGGCCAAAGAGAGGAAGGAAGATGGTTTTATCATGCTCATTGGGCGACAGCATGAGACTTTGGCCATGCTCTTTATTGTTATGGTTGGTCTGTGCGTGTGTCTGAGTGCATGCTTGCATGCTTACTGCATATTTTACGCTGCACTACAAATGCCGGAAGCTACTCTGGCATCGTCAACTGTGCTACTTTGCATGGCCTTGCCCTTGCAAATATTTCCTGGGCAGGCTCCTGCTTGGGAAGCGGCTACAGGCAAGAGGTAGAGCCCCCACCTTGCAGGTGGAAGGCTCTCAGGTCCAGCCCCCAGAATCTCCTGTTAAAAGGAGCAGCAGGTGAAAAGAAAGACTCTGGCCCTGGATACAGCCCACTATGGGTCAGAAGGACCATACGTTTGAGCCAGCCTGCCACCACCTGATGCCCATAGCTCAGCTGGTAGAGCATGAGACTCTTAATCTCAGGGTTGTGGGTTCAAGTTCTGTGTTGGGCAAAATATTCCAGCATGGCAGGGGGTTGGACTAGATGACCCATGAGGTCCCTTCCAACTTTACAATATAATGATCTAATCGTCTAGATGCTGTTGGACTACAACTCTCATCAGCTCCAGCCAGGACGGGAGCTGTAATCCAAAGACATGGGGAGGGCACCCCCCCCACATTTTCCCGACCAACTTTTCTGCAGTTCCCATCCGGATAGTTCCTTGCCTTCTTTAACTCAGTGCTCTCCATATTCTTCCCACAACACCCACCACGGACAAACGGCATCACAACAACAACAAGAAGACACCACATACACTTAAAGCCAGCATAAAGCAATGCAGAGAAAAATCTAAAACTCATTCATATTTTCAAAAGGCACGACGAAAACATCCTATCCACTGAAGGATGTGTCAAGGGCAGCTGTCTACCAGCTCCATCTGGTACGCAGGATGAGACCCTCCCTGTCCACGAACTGCCTCACCAGAGTGGTGCATGCTCAGGTTATCTCTTGCTTGGATTACTGCAATGCGCTCTACGTGGGGCTACCTTTGAAGGTGATTCGGAAACCACAACTAATCCAGAATGTGGCAGCTAGACTGGTGACTGGGAGCGGCCACCGAGACCACATAACACCAGTCTTGAAAGACCTACCCTGGCTCCCAGTACATTTCTGAGCACAATTCAAAGTGTTGGTGCTGACCTTAAAAGCCCTAAACACCCTCAGCCCTGTATACCTGAAGGAGCGTCTCCACCCCCATTGCTCAGCCCGGACATTGAGGTCCAGTGCCGAGGGCCTTCTGGCGGTTCCCTCACCACGAGAAGTGAAGTATATATATATATATATATATATATATATATATATATATATATATGTATATGTATATGTATGTATGCCACTTTTCACTCACAACTCACAAAGCTGCTTACATACCATAAATAATAACATACTAGAAAACCACAATGTAAATCACATAAAATGTTTAACAAATCATCTGTAAAACAACCATGGCTATCTGGATATCTCAGCATGATGCTGATGATGCCAAGGCTGCAGGTTTGATCCCCATACAAGACAGCTTGTATTCCTGAACTGCAGGGAGTTTGGACTAGGTGACCCTCAGGATTCTATTTTCCTATCTTCACCTCTTATAAAACACTATTGGCAAAACAACTTGAAAAATAGGCAAAACAGCATAACCACAAGAAAAGACATACAGTGGTACCTCTGGATGCGAACGGGATCCGTTCTGGAGCCCCATTCGCATCCTGAAGCGAACGCAACTCGCGTCTGCGCGTGCGTGGGTCGCGATTCGCCGCTTCGGCGCATGACGTCATTTTGAGCGTCTGCTCATGCGCGAGCGGCGAAACCCGGAAGTAACGCGCTCTGTTACTTCCAGGTCGCCGCGAAGCGTAACCTGAAAATGCTCAACCTGAAGCACATTTAACCCGAGGTATGACTGTATTATAAAATTCACAAAGCACTGCACCTATAACCCACAAAACAATACTGACAACATGAATAAGCTTGGAACCAAAAACGAAGTAAGCACAGCTGAATTCACACAACCACACTTCCCTGACCTCTTCCACTCAAAAAGACACACATGCACCATGCCTGTGGCAGCAGCTCCATTCTGAAGGCTCCTGGGGCTGGAAGGCTGGGCAAGGCAGGTGGAAGCAGCCCCTGCTTGGCGGCCAGTAGAGACCTCCACTCCCCTGGCAGTTCTTCTGGAAAAAGCTCCCTTATAAAGGGAATCACAGGGAACTAGGCAGAAAGCCTGCCCCGTGGAATACCCTCCCATCAGATGTCAAGGAAATAAACAACTACCTGACTTTTTGTCAGTGCTGTCTCGGGAAGTTTTTAATGTTGGAGGTCCCACTGTGTTTACTATATTCTGTTGGAAGCATTCAAAGTAGCTGGAGCAATCAGGTGGGTATATAAATTATTGCTACTGATTTGATCATCAACAGCTGCAACAGAAGCAGAACACTCAGCAGAAAATAAAATGTTTCTGCCTGGCAGCTAAAGTTATGTAATCATGGCACGAGGCGGGCCTGGGAGAATATTCCACAAGCAGGGAGCCACCTCTGAAAAGGCCCCCTCCATGTTGCCACCCTCCAGACCTTTTGTGGAGGGTGCAGACAGAGGAAGGTCATGGATGACAATCCCAATAGGCCCCAGCCAGAATGTAGAGGATAGGAGTTTAGTCTGACATTACCTAGGTAGTCCCACAGTTGCTGACTTCAGCTTGCTCAAACCCCCTCCAGCCTTTGAACAGATCTCTCAGCCACATAGTGCTACCTAGGCAGACCATTGCTTGCTGTTACTCTCACACATTGCTGTGAAAAACCATGGATATAAACCATAAACAGAAGCTGTCTACAGACTTGCTTCTGAAGCTCAGATTTATGACTGAGGAGTGTGGCCCTCCTCCGCATTTGGGTCTCCTTCCACAGAACTGCCCTGTCCTAGCACCCCAACCACAGGAGACTAACTGCATGCTAATTGCATGTCAAGTATGCAATAGGTCTGTTCGGGGCTCCTGGCCCCACCTATCTTAAAGGAGCAAATGCACCACATTTTACATGTGCAAACTCAATGAGAGGCTCTTGACAAATGAGCTCAGATCCTCAAACATGCGGGAACATGCGACTCCTCGATTACAACATCTATATTAGCTTCCAATTCATTTCTGTGCCTGGTTCAAAGTGCCATCTATGACATCTATGAGGTTTGGGTCTGTTTGTGCTGGGCTGGGGTGCGCAAGGGGCCTTTTATGCCTCACCTAGGCAGCCCCCCTCTCTGGAAGTCTTCAGATGCTCTGCGAATCTTTTCAGACAGACATTTGGTCTGCCTGGCTGCTATCTTGAGCTGCCCTGGAATTTTAATCTTCGGGTTTTAAGCTATTTAACCTACTGCCTATTCCTGTTTGCTGACCTATCTACTTGGAATGGGTCTCTATGAGGGCATCTGTACACCCTTCCAGGTGTTGATGAAATGCCAACTCCCACCACCAGCCCCAGACACCTGAATGATGTCAGGAATGATGGCAGGTGCAGAACAGGAACCGCCAGAGGGTCTGCAGGTGCCTGGCCCCTGATGTAGACCAACAGAAAACTCATTCTCTGCTCGATTTTGAATCCTTCATGCAGCCAAAATAGCACATCCACACACAAGAGGACAAATAGGCTTCAGGAAGAAGCCTTGCAGAAATAACGCCCCTCCCCCCCAAATGAAAGCTTTGAGGGGCAAAGCAACAACTCAAAAATAGCTATAGAGGATTGAGCATGCTCAGTGGGCTGATTCACTATTGGGAAATGGGGGCTGGCAGCAAACCAGGGTGGGGAGGATGGAATGGAGTGTCCTGGAAGGGGGCCTGTCTGCCTTGAACCCTAAACTTTGTGCTCCAGCTCCGGTTTCCTAGAGCCTGTGGCTGATTTGTCTTTTTAGTATGTTTGGATGCTCTGCTGAGAGCTACTTTCAATGTTTTATTTTTTAGAAGGGTGGGATACACACCCAAATTAAACGAAAGCAAATTATCAGGTGAGAGGCGGTCCTTGGCAGCTTGCATCGAAAGTCAGAGGAAACCATGTCCCTCCCAGTGCTGTGCAAAGCAGAAGCCAGATGAATAAAGTCTTCTTTACTGCAAGAGGGAATGAATACAGGTAGCTCTGAAAGCTTGGAGGCACGTCAAATGCAGCCGGTCTGGCTCTCATTGCAGGCAGTCAATGGCAACAAGGATCAGCCTGAGTGTTGAAGGTCAAGTTAGTGATGCTGGCAGGATGAGTGTGCAAAAGGAAGGAGAGGTGATGCAAGGACAGAGAAGGAGCCCACTGCTCAGGAGGCTGCCAGATCCCTCCTCTCAGACTCCCTGCAACTAATCCCCTTTCAGCCACGCTTTGCGGAGGTTAGTGGAATCGCCCTGCTCAGTGCTGGCCCAGGTCACAAAACAATGCCACGCACACAAAGGCAAGCGGTGTTGACCCTGAGATCTCAAGAGAGATGGAATCCAAAGATAAACCCAACTCCTTTGTTAGCCTCGCTAGGAATAATAGACGACTCAAATAAACATTTATCTCATCAGGAGATGTTGACATATTCACTGGTAGAAGCTTGTCTAGAAATAGCAAGATGTTGGCCTTCTGCACCAGGGCTGTCAATTGACTCGCAGGATGCTCAGGTGTGGCCTGCAGCTCTGCCCTGGAAACTGACCTTCCAGGTTAGCCAGAGGCAAAATGAGTTCTGTATCCTTTGACACCACCTGGCACCCATTCAAATCCCACAGGGGAAGCGACAATTACTTGAGACAACTTCCCCAGACTCACAGAAACATCTGGTGAGACCCAATGGCCTAGAGTCTTGTTTTAAGCAACGGCTCCAACTTTAGGATGCTCTTATGCCCTTTTCCCCGAAATGACAGGCTGGCTGCTATTGTCTATTGTATTTTAAGCTATGTTTCTTACATGTGAAAAAGCAAATATTTATACTGTATATAAAAAGAGCTTCAGGTGCTCCAGTGCATGACCGCAGAAAAGGGGCACGCTCCTTTAATGGTACATGGACAAGAGACCTGGAGCAGGATAACACATGCAGCTGGAATTCTGGGACACAAAAGTCCTTCAAAATATGCAATCTTCTATATGCAATCTTATGTTGCACCTGCTGGCATTTAGGGGACTAGAAATGTGTTATGTTTGCTTTTCTATAATATACCTGGCAGATATCTCAACACATCCCTTGGATGGGAAGATGCTCAGAACGGCAAGATTGATAGATGCCAGACAAGACTTTAGAACATGGGGTGGGAATCTTTGGCCTGCCAAAGGGTTGCAGGACTACAATTGCCATCAACTCTGACCTTTAGCCTCACCAGCTTCTGGGGCTGATGGAAGCCGGAGTCCAACTTCAGTTTCAGGCCCCATCTGCACTAAATGTTTAAAGCAGTATCACACCACTTGAAACAGTCATGACTTCTGCCAAATACCGTATTTTTCGTTCTATAGGACGCAC